TTTAAACGGACTCCTTGTAGCCCAACGCCAAACCCGCTGCCTTGCGGTAAGGTTGGTGAACCAGAGGTTTTGGTTAGAAACCCTAATCGTTCGTTTCGCTAAGCCTGGGTAGCCTGACAGTATCCTACCCACGCAATACAATGAATTTCTCTTCAAACAGTTTCTTGATGCTCTGGCCACCGCAGAGGATAATCAATGGTGCCCTAGCTGCTGCACCGAGCAGGGTGTATAGGGTTTGGATGCTACTGCTCAAGCCTATCCATCTTCTTATTCCCCCTCTTACGCTTTTTCTCTCTTACCATCCCGTCCCAGCTTCAATTTTATCCCCCTTGTTTGCAATTCCCCAATTCTTCGCCCCCTTGCTTTGCTAGGCTTTTACCTTCTAATTTCAACTAAAAGGTGAACGCGGAGCGTCACTCCTGTCCTGTTGACAAGCCCATGTCCAACCAAGTGGCCAAGCCAAGTTCATCGACTCGCATTTGGAGCCCTCCATCATTCTTCAGATTGGTATGCCTCAAGGTACGCACATTGCCACAAATCGATCAACGTCACTCTCGCCCTGAAGGGTAGAGTGTACAATGTAGCGGTACGTTCGACCCTACTGTACGGTTGCGATACCTGGCCCCTTAGACCAGCGGACATAAAAAGGCTAGTTAATTTCGACCACCGGTGCCTTCGTAATTTAGCTCACATCTGGTGGGAACACCGCGTGAGCAACGAGCGTGTTCGACGCCTTGTTTACGGCACAGGAAAAGGAAATGAACCGCTCTGCACCGTTATTTCACGCACCAGGCTCCGATGGCTCGGCCACGTGTTACGCATGTCAGCTCACCGACTCCCGCGACGTGCGTTGTTTGCGCGCCGGGTGTGGATGGAAGAAGAGGATAGATGGCCAAGCGATGACTTGGTCGAGAGAAATGAAGGCCCTCACTTCTGAGCTGGCCTCGGTTGGAGCGTCTCGGCTCTATGGTTGGGGTCCAAAAGACGATGAACACGTTTGGCTAGATACACTTGTTGATATGGCCAGGAGCTGACCTCGGTGGCGTTCGTGCTGTGAGTTTCCTTATCCCACGCCATCCCCCTTAGCCTCACCCTCCAACCACGATCTCATTATTTAGCATTTTATAATTTCGCATAAGAAACTATTTTTTCTGTTGTACAGTAGCTGGCAGATAGCTTACCGGAACGATGCCCATCGGTTACCGGCAACTCAGCTGGCTTGTACCTGTTGCGTTTTCTTCCCTTTTTCGGTTAGATATTGCGGCACAGTAGCTGAATTGTTTTTTAACTCTAGCTTACGTGTATAGTGTGTGTGATTTCCAGCCTCTTTGCGATGGGGCACACTAAATAAGGTAGTTAAGGTAGCAAAATTATCAGTCCTACGCCAAGCTTCTTCTGCTAATGTTTCGCCGTCACGCAACATCCAGGAGATATGCATAGGCAGTGTTAATGCGACTCCAGTGTTTTATGGATTACAACGCAAACACCTGAACCAATCAAGCACAACCGAGTTAAATCAACAATTGAGTAAGCGCCATAAATTGCAGCTTCGAAGATGCCACGCATGTGGGCACTAGCGGTGTCCAGTACTCGTTTACTTGCAGCATGTAGACTTGTGTCTTGAAATAAGAGCGTTGAACGCGGTTAACAAAAGATAGTGAGTGGAGCTCATGAGGATTTACCGACGATAAAAGAATAGGATATTGTAATAACTCGGGTGCATATGATGAACCTCAGTAGTAGTTTAGCTCCGGAAACTACAAAAATTAGATGGTAATAGAGACTGAAAGAAAACAGGATGAATAGTTGGAGAAGAGGAAGCACTAGTAGCACAGTAGTTGTACTCTACAACCCCGTTGTAGGCATATGTGAACTAATATTTCAGTGATCGTTGGCATTTGCGGATAAAAAATGTGGAAGCTTAACATGTTCCGCCGCATGATCAGTTAGGAGTTCCACAAAAATAAAACCAACAACGGGGAAACTTGTCGATCCCAATCTGGTCCATATGAATCCTTTACGCATGGTTTTACACAAGTTACAACGCAACGGTTTTCCCAGCAAGAAGGATGTGATTCGACGCGGTTTGGCTTCTTGATGTTTATGCGGATCCTGTGTAGCATAGGACGTCACATAACTGGTTGCGACCCAATAACCGGTTTCTAGCACTCCGGAGCGATGTCTATCTGTTCCTGGTCGCTCGGTTAGCGTGCGTGTGTTGTGTACTTTTTTCTCGCATGTATTGCGGCACAACAGCTGACTGGTTACCCGTTTCTAGCTAACGTGTATAATGATGATTATGATTTAATCATGTGGTATAATGCGGTCAGAGAAGTATCGACACGACTTCTGAACATGGTTAATACAAGAGCTGATATAACATCTTCTATGGAGGAATTATGTGTGGAAAACACGTGGAAAGAAGGCATTCTGTAAAAATCCCACAGGATGTGTTTCACTGCCAATTTGAGACCGCAGCCTTTCACACTGCTGGTATGACTGAGCTTGAGCAGATGTTAGCATATGTGATCAGGGTTGCTCGAATACTGGTAAACTATCATAAGGCCAATGTATATATGTCGAATGCAGCCAGTGTTAACTTATAGCACACTTGGTTGCTTTTCTTTTGGAAATTGAACTAGCCCTTTGACGTTGTTATGGCTACATGTTTCGGGATCTCCAAAACAGTGGGATGCCGCTTCTGCAATAACTAGCAGTCTTGAATTGCCCATTCCATATGAGGGCGCATGTAGGCAGAAAGTATTTAGAGAAAATCGAAGTCATAGAAAACATAGCTGCGTCAGCAAAGACAACATCTAAGACGTTGAAATCCCTAGAAAAAGATTTAATAGGGTGTCTGTTTCAGTCGGAGCAGCTGCATCCTTTGTAAATGGAAGCCATTATCCTGTGGTTTCACATGGCAGGAATGTGCAACTTGTTAACCAAACTCTAAGCTGCCAAGGCAGCAGGGTTTGGGTAAATATCGAGAGATGCGGGGATCTGTAATGGCGCATAGATGGCAGCATCCTCATCACAGTGGCTGAAGTAAAGCGGTGATGCCATAATGCATCTCCAAGGGCCAGGAAATCCCGTTACACATCAAAAAGTTGGTACATACTGCTGCTGCAAAATTCACCGAATCTTTGACGATCCATGTCAGTCCATCTGCTGTTGGAAGACGAAAAATCCCTTTTTACCTTGCAAATGCAGTTCACTTGGTTTAAGGATAGGTATGTGCGACTTTGCTCTCATAAACCAGTTGCGTATACTGGTTACGATGGACAACACAGGTCCTCAATATGTTGAGGATTTGGGGAAGTTTTGGGTGTATTCCATGCTGCGTTTCGAACCGTCACACATTTAAGTATCCTACTCAGGACATACAAGGCGATGTAGCTCAAAAGATAACCTTAGTTCCCGATGCATCCGTAACCAGAGTGCTAAACTTAATGACAAAGATTTCTTAAATAATATGCGGCGCTCTCTTTGTTAAGCGGAAAATTAGGTACAGTCTTTCAGGTCAGCCTTGATTTATTCATCGGGATAGGCTTGAGAATCAACAGCATGCGAGTTAAGATAGCCAGTAGTTGGAATATGGTTGCATTTCTCGCTTATCACACGGTTTAACGCAGTCGTTAAGTTGGTCGATTTTATGTGAAGACGTGGGACGGTACACGAGCACTACGGGGCAAACGTTGTTGACTCTCAGCTGTACATGGCATCAAATAGAATCAGACACTTCAGGTTTCGGTTCGTGTATGGGTTCGGACTAGAGGTCGCTGTGAGGACGCAGAGCTACCCCCCCATCAGTGCTCGCTCCACTATCTGGAAGAACGAAAAAACCTCAACGCGATCTTTGTATCCGCCCGGTATATTGCAGTGCGACCAAGTGACCACAGTGTCTGGCTTCATAAATCTAATATCAGTCTAATATGTGAACTCAGAGCATACGCTACGAACTGTAAAGAAATATGAGAAAACGCCTTCATACAACGAAGAATAACAACACTTACAATGAGAGCAGAAAAGGCAAACTCAGTACGTGTAATTGACCCAAGGATAAGACATTAAAAACTCCCTAATCACCTTATAGAAAGAAATCGCTTAGCTTGCTAAAAGGCGTAAGCTGGCAGCATGTGATGTAATTATCCGCTATTGTTGCTGTTATTGTCGTTATTAGGCATGCGTTATCATGGTGACGATAAATGAGCTTGCGAATCGTTTATGCATAGTATCAGCAAATTAAGAAGTAAGAACAAACCATTAATTCTCTTAATTGTTCAAGAGAATACGGCCAGTGCACATATCTCAAGTAATCAAAAACGGAAATGTAAACGTGCGTTAGAAGCACAGAAAACTAAACAAGCTTTCCATAAACATACTTAAGTGTTCTGCCAAAACGGATCGACAACCGCAGTGTTAAATATTAATAACATTTTCATAAATTCTGGGAGCCTTGGAAAACGGGAACATGGCAATTTGCGATTACTTGAGTAAAAGTGTCATGCTAATTACTTATGAGCATCATGATATCTGGTCTGTGTAAGTTGTCAGTCTTTTGTAAGCAACAAGCAATCGACAGGTAAAGACAGCGGATCACAATTCAGCAATCGCAAACACCTGCAAAACAAGCAAAACAAACCAACAACTCGATCAAGCTCAACTGCAATGAGTGGGAACAAAGCTTCGGCTAGATCATAAATGAATACATCATAGAGCTAATGTCTGAAATATAAATGCTGTTGTGAAAAGGGTTAATGACTTTACCAGGAATGGAACGCAGCGCTTAATATTTCATACATGGTAAAAATCTTGACAAAATGATGGCTATGTGCTTGCTAACGTGAAAAAGCATCAAGAGGCGTAAAGCACATTATCTTTCATAGAAAGCCACATTTATATTACGCGACCTCGTCCGCAAACACATGACGAGTAAACAGTGCAACTACGATATATGTGAACAGGTTACATGTGCTCAACAGTACAAAGAATTTGCTCACCAGGTCCTTCGAAAAGCCAACGCTCGCCTGCAATCCGTTCGATACCATCATGATCGACGCAGTTCATTAGGCTTTCAAGAAGAAAAGCGCTATTAACAGGAACAACTGGTAACGCCTCAATAGAGCCTATAAGCTCTTCACCAGGGTACAAAGGGAATGGTTCTTGGTGAAACCGATATTCTTCATCACCCGCCTTAAGCTTTACTTGACCACTAGGGTCAACCACTGGCGTCCCATCCTCTGTTCTGACTACTGGGTTTTTGATCAAGCAGTAATTCATCGGTGGAACCACAATCATCTTGGTGGGACCGACAACAACACTTAAGCCAATGATACAAAAAAGTCAAAGCTTACCTCTCGTCTTGGAGGCATAAATATGTTTTAGGTCCTAGGACCACTCGAGTCACATTAGTATTCAAATTTATAACATGTATGTAGTGATAATGAGCTATCCGTATAACTTCGGAGGCTAAAGCATTCGCAGGAGCAGTCATCGCAAGGAAATTGCGCAATACACTGGCGCCAATTTTCCAAATACCGCAAACCTCTGAAGGTCGAACGTGTAGTTTAACCAAATAGTCCAAGTAAATTATCTATAAAAAAAGTGACAGACAAAATAATATATAACGGGTTATACAAAGCCTTTGTATCTATGTAGGTCACAAGTGTTGTTTTAAATGGCAAACGAGCCTGCATTTCGTCATTTGAGGCCTTATAATGAATTTATTTCCCATAAGTAAAAGAGCAATAACGTTCTGACAGCAAACTGAAAAAGAAGTAGCTGATTGCAGAAATGCTTTTTCTAAAATTTGCGAGCTGCTATTCTCGTTTAAATACACCAGTTTTAATGATGTTCGTATTGCAAGCATATTCCATTCAGGTGTGAGACGGTGAAACGCGCCCGAAATTTTCCGAATTTTATCCGATCAGTGTCTAATTGATATATATATATACATATATATATATATATCCGATGCTTAGTACTTAATGGAAATTGGATAGGATTGATTTTTATACAACTGAATTGTAAGCTGTTTGTAAAGAGCTTAACTGGTGGTGGTGTATTTGGTTATTCAGCCCCATGTAAGATACAGCAGTTTATGCCGTATGGACGGTGACCGCTCTAAATCCTGGGAGGACGTGGGAAAAGCGGTTCGTAAGTTCCATTTCGCGACTATCTCTTGTTTCTTTCAATATGGTACGTTAATGGTTATGAAGTTTGGGAAGCAGTATGGGGAGAACTTTGCTGAAGGCATTCCCTACGGTATTTGCAATTTCGATGCGTGCATTGCAAACATGATGAAACCCGTGGAAAGCGATACATCCTATCTGTTATACTGATATGTTTATTTCACAGCTTTGTGCTGACGGCTATGGTGCGCGGTTTTCATTTAGCTTTAGAGTGCAGTGTTATGCGCGCTGCAACTACAACTTAACCCACACGCACAGTTTACAAATTTGTCAATCTTGACTAAATCCATACGACAGACTTCTGACTATGGCGTAAACGTCTGGAGTGTGGGGTTTGGTGGACACATTTAAGTTCAGTCGTGAAAATCGGTCACATTTGGCGGAGACTTATAGACGACTGTTGACGAAGGCGAATTTGTGGTACAAGAAGCGCTGGCACATACGGCAAGCAGGCCAAGAAGTCGTGGAATTCCCACTTTTTTGGTACGGCATGCTAGGTACAGTGCGAGCTGGGATGTTGAGCAAATACGTCTCGTGCTTTGTATGCCATCATGCACGGATACCATCATGCAGCAATACTGTGAGGTCATTTTTACGGAACCGATTCTCCAGATCAACTACGGTGGGAAAGTTTTGTGGCCCAGCCTACTGGTGGACGTGACAGGTGTTGCCATGCCCTTCTTCTATGTGTTGCTAATAAATGAAACAGCAGATAGCTACATGCAAGTAGTTGAAGCAGCGCTTGGTCCTGTCGACATACAGGATACGCAGAATAGTGATGGACAAATACGCAGCTCAGGTAGGTGCGTTTCAGTCCTTGTACGCTCAAATGCAGGTAGTACTATATCGATTTCATGCCGTTTGAGACATGGCCGCTCGTTTCGAGCATCTGCACGCTGCGTCACCTAGGTATAGAACGCTACTACGGCAGTGTTTGCATAAGTTGATTTACACCACGGGCACCGATTATTTTGGTAAACTGGTGCATGCTGTTGAGGTGCAAAGGCTGGAGGTTTTGAATGTCTGATGGGCAGGTGGCTACCTTGCTTGTCCTCATGGACGGCGCATCGATTAAGGACGGTGTGCACCTTCGGTTGCTCCATGAGCAAAATAGTGCAGAACGAGCACAGGCAAATAAAGCGGCACCTCAGTGAGTGATCCACTGTGCTTCTTCTCTTAACGGTGGTGGTGGATGGTTTGCCTGCAGTGCTTGAAGGAAGACGGACGAAAGTGTCTATTTACAATGTGACCCCCTACGTGCCGCCGGTAAACTCATCAGCTTTCCCAGGACTGTTGGTGCGTATGTTACCATACGCACGGAACAGTTCCTAAAGCACTGGTCATTGGAGGATATAATTGGGTTTCGTCCTGAGAGTACTGCTTGGACGGTGGAGTGCAAGCGGCGGTCCGGTAAACGGGCTTACGTCCTACGAGGTGGTGGATACGACTATGAATTCAAGCAGAGTTGGCGGTTGCCATGTACCCACAAGTGTAACATTGGGTGCGCGCAGGGTTCAGAGCCAACGCTATTGTTTCAGTCTTGGCAGTAGCATATAACCGTTTCGCCTGAACCCATACGTTCTATAGAATTCACGGAGACGGATGAGTTATCAGTGTCGGAAGCTGCAAAGTGCTACCACAGTCCTATCGGAGCGCATCACTAAGCTTCGCACGGAGGTGTGCCCAGAAATGAAAACGCACATCTGCACCATGTCAACTCAGAACGTTTAGCGCATGCTGACTTCATAGCCATGGTTCTGCTAGGTATTGTCGTATGTTAACTATGTGGTGCTGTTCTGTAAGACAATGCACTTCGGATCACCAGCGCCGTTGGAGAAAGACGAGGATGTCTTGTCGTTGCGAAAACCGAGAGACGTCATCCGAGGTTCCTTGTCCTTCTGTGGGTGGTCACTCAATAGAAAACATGCCAGCGGAAACGGAAGCCTGCTTAAATACACTGTCCAGAAGGCGGAAATCCCCACTGGTACTGAGGCGGACGGTGGTATCCATTACGGATAGCTTGCCGCCCGGTGCACATTTGCTTAAGCTGTGGAGCAAGGCTTCCTGCATCTACCGAGACAGACCCGTGAGGCGAGGTGTTCGTTCCAGAGAGGCGCAACTGCTCATTGAGTATGCTTGCGAAAGATGTGGTGGAGGATAGCTAGACGGTGGAGTGGGTATTGTGTAATGAGTGTGGACGTTGGTTTCACCAATCCTGTGATCGCTATGATGAAAAAGACGCTTTTAAGCGTCTGTATTGTATGGGGTAAAAGGAAGTGGCAACCTGTTCTGTATGTTTTCGTGGTGCCCGCTAAGCCACGTCCAAGCAATGTCCATAGGTGCTTTTTATAGAATACTCCAGGTGCTGTCGTTATTTGTGATTACACGAGCCGACAAAATGGCAGCAGCATCGGTTCCCTTTTCGGTACCTGCCGCTCGCCTTTCTGCCATGTAATAGGTAAGAGGGCTACATCCTGCGATATATTGTTTCTTAGTTTCTTGTCTTTACCCAAATGTCACCAGTACAACAATTCATTGGCTAAGTTATAAGCAAGATTCAGGTAAGTGGATTGATGGCTAGGTGACACGTATCGTGTCCTACACTAAGTAATTTAATGGTCCGCTTATTCTCCCTCACTATGGGTCACGCACTGATCCCCTGCCTTAACTGGGACAGCGTACACTGTCTTCCGTGTGTAGTTTTCCACGAGTAAAAGGTCCTTTCGTAATAGAGGACCTTAATCCATCTGACGTTTTGTAGCGCAAATTGTTCTCTGATACTGTTTCAGTGTACATTGCTACTGCGCTTCTCGATCTAGCCTTGCATTCACCCCTGCATCCGGTCAGTTGATAGGAGAAATGGATACAGGAAGGAGCAATACCCGTCTAGGTAGGAGCTTATCTATTCTAACTGCGCTGCTTTTGTCGCCGATATTTATTCAACTAACCTCTGCGTGTCATCGAACACGCCTGTGTATCGTTCCAGTAGGCTGTTAGTCGAATGGCATGATGGTCCCGATGGGTATAAAAATATGGCACGCGCACTTTCAAGCCAGAAAGTACAACGCTACGAAGTCGCCTTGCGCCATTTTGGAACCTGACCATAATCAGACTCCTTGGGACAAATTGAAGTCCTAAGAACTTAAAGTTCTACCATATTGAGGTACTTACATTTCTTTTCCTAGTCTGCTCGCACGGTCTGCCCCCTTGCCGCTTGTTAACATCACCTTGTTGTCCTTGTTAGCATGTCAGCGACTTCAGCTTTGGTTGAAGGTCGTTCATGTTTCTGCTAATTTCACTTCAGTAACTTCACAACCCCTTCGTCTTAGTGATCATTTCATAGCCTGTGTCCTGCCGTCCACCGGAATGCTGCATATTCATTTTACTTAGGTGTCTGCGGTTGGCAAACGAGAACCGTCCGCCTGCTTGAGACGTCCGTTGTGCTTACGTCAACACATAATTTAGATAGTTATTCATCGCAGTTGTCTGCCCTATTATTTTATCGCCCGCAGTGGCCGTCCATCTCTTTATCGCTTGTCCACCTCACGTAGTCGTCCTAGGTTTGCATGCGAGCCACGTCCACCAGGGTTCACACCACGCTTGTCCATACGCCGCCATTCATTTAAGGAACGTATACATCGCTTTTGGCTTCCTTTTCATTTCAAAGCTTACACCAGCCTTTTTGATGCATGTGCCACTTTTGCTCCGAATCATGATATCCATACCTTTTCCTGTGGGCTATGTCCACTGGTCGTTAGTGATATCGGTGCGCCGCGCTCGATGCGCCACCCCTGGTGCGTCTGAAAGTAGCTTTAGGTACGCAAGCATCTTGTTTGTCACATTCATAAACCCGGTGCACCATCACAAGATCCAGCTGTTCTCGCCGGTTCAATAACATCAAAGGAGAGTAAGCAACCGTAGACAACTTCAGGGCTTCTCAATGGAACGCGGAAGCGGCCCCTTAAGAGCAAACTAGATTTTAGTGTTCACGCATTGCGGCTAGAGTGCGTCTGTAGGTACACTCCAAAGGATAAAGCGGACATTAGGGTTGGTGAATACTTCAGACAGGTTTTCATCTGTTCCCAACTTGCATCCATACTTCCTCAACAACTTTGTGCGTCATAACATACGTACAACGTCACTTCTGACATTTTGTGGCATTCCACCAGTAAGGTGGCACCTCAGGTTTTGCCGCGCTTGACGCCAGAGATTGACCATTTTGTCCAGCAATTCTGCTCTAAGTCACTTGCACAGGTTACGTGTCACACGTCTTCCGTATTTTTAATAAACATTATCTTCACCCATACGAGTACACCTATACCCCATTACTTAGTGATCAACTGTGTTTGAGTGACACA